GAGAGAGAGAGAAGTTTGTCGAATTAGATTGATTTAGGTTTAAACCCTAGCTCCAAATTTTCAGTTTGAGTGACTTTCAGCAGGTTCTTACCTTCTATGAGTTTTTTCATCTTCTGAGTTTTACTTTATGCTATTTAATAGTGATCCTTATTACTCTCTATCTTGCTACTCTGCTTTATTTTTCTTCGTAGTCTACATTACCACTTAATACATAATTGCTTGTATATTTTTCAACTTTACGTCTTCCCTCACTAGAATGAAAGCTCTAGGAGAACAGGAGTTTTATTTAACTACTATATCTTCAGTGTTTAGAATGCCCTCTGGCACATATTATATAAATTTTTTTTGAGAGAATAAATGCAAAATAGGGATAACATTATTTCACAAGGCTGTTGTGTGAAATTAACTAATGTAGGCAAAAACCATGCTACATAGTGTCTCATGCATGGAAGGTTCTGTGAAATTAGACAGGATGATATTCATTTTTGAGAAATGTGAAATAAAAAACCATATATATCTCTTTCCAGCCTTTCTTGTTCACTTTAACATTGTGATATTTATCCATTTAATAAATGTATTTCTACATCATTCATTTTGTTTTTGGTGTTCCATTTCTTGAATATGCCATAGTTTAACCATTTTCTTGTGGAAGAACATTTAGATTGCTCTAATTTTCTACTATTATATACAAAACTGAAATGGATATTTTTATAGCTATATTTTTGTGCACATAGCAAAAATTTCCCTAGGCAATATACTTGAAGGTGGAATTTCTAGGTTATATCAGCATCTTTCACTTCACCAGACATTGCCAAATTGCTCTTTAAAAAGAAAGTTCTATTTTATAAATTGGCATGGATGACCAGGTTTGCACAGAAAACCAATAGTCTCTCAGATCTAAAATACCCTGTTTAGGGGTGCCTGGCTGGTTCAGTAGAAAGAATATGTGACTCTTGATATTGGGGTCATGAGGTAGAGCCCCATGTTAGGGGTAGAGATTACTTAAATAAATAAAATTTAAAAAATACTGTTTATTCAGATGCTGGTCTGAAAATTGCCTTTTCCTCTACTGAGATACAGTATATTTAAAGCTCAAAGAACTGGGGCGCCTGGGTGGCTCAGTCGGTTGGGTGTCCAACTTCGGCTCAGGTCATGATTGCACAGTCAGTGAGTTTGAGCCCTGAATCAGGCTCTGTGCTGACAGATCAGAGATTGAAGCCTGCTTCGGACTCTGTGTCTCCCTCTCTCTCTGCCTCTCCCCTGCTCATGCTCTGTCTCTCTGTGTCTCAAAAATAAATAAAAACACTAAAAAAAATTTTTAAAAACACATCAATTTCTTCTTCTTAAAAAAAAAAAAA